ATGTAAGAAAAACAATAGATGATTTAAAAAAAGTGATGACAAATTTTGAATCCAGAGTTGAATTTACAGAAGATTTGCAGAAAATGAGTGATGTGAGTCTTTTCAGTGTCCTTTTTTTCTTTAGAAAAAATTTTATATTGAAAAAAATCTTACATCCAAGGACTAAATCAATTGAGCTTTCAAATGTTTTCAGACATCTTTCTTAGGCTATATGAGTGTGCTTATAATAATCTTAATACACTGAGGATTCAAATTGCTAATGTGCTTTTTTGTCTAAAAAAATTAGGCTGCAGGTGATATTGTTGACATAAGAGAAGAAATTAAAAGTGACTTTGAATTTAAAGGTAAGCAATAAAATTGTTTTCTGTAAAGTTATTTAAGTATTTGCCCACTGTATTGAATTTCAAGGAGTCTTCTGTGAGATATTTGGGATTATATTATGTGATATTTTTTAATTCATAAGGTACAAACATTTGTTCCATTTATGCATTAATTTTTATATTTGATATAAAGTTCTATATTTTAATATATTTTAAAATGGAACACATTAATCGACAAGTATCTTTTGGATGAAGCACTTGGTTTTTGACTGATCTGTTTAGTGACATTACATGGCTTTCTTCAAAGTTGGTTAAGGGTCCAGACATCTAGAACTCAGAAGCTGCATACTCTGTACATGGATCTGCTCCTGATTTGATCTTTGACCTTAATTAACTCATAATATACCTTTTGCTAGTTTTTCTCCTTTTGAGACTAGCTTTTGATGCTGTTTTTGGAAGAAAGACTGAATATAGTCTGAGTGTACCTCAGCCATTCTTTTTTTTTTTTTTTTTAAATCCTCTCCCGAGGATATTTTTCCATTGCTTTTCAGAGAGAGTGGAAGGAGGGGAGAGAGAGAAAGAGAAACATTGATGTGAGAAAAACACATAAACCAGTTGTCTCCTGCATGTACCCTGACTAGAGCTGGGGATTGAGCCTGCAACCAAGGTACATGCCCTTGGCCGGAACTGAACCCGGGGAATTGGACCCTT